CACACAAGAGAATAAAAGCAACTGGTACCTACCCAGTATTAAGTAACTGAGCATACGGCCACACAATCACAGCAGGGAGCACGCACCGGGACCAGTTACCTGTCATTTCTGAAACTGGTTGTGTGACCCAAACTTCCATCTTTCATAAAGCAGATTCAGATGGAAAATCGGAAGCTAATCATCCCTTCAATATCTTAATATTAAACACCTGCTATGTGCCGAATACTCTTATAAGCCCAAATACTGTCTTGGCTATTTTAAAGCATGAAATTTTACTTTATGTTATGAAAATGCCCAAAGCTACTTGCTCAATATGAATTTTTATTGATTCAATTATTAAATGCACATACTATAATTCCATTAAGGTATTAGCCCAATGTCAAGCAGACGGAAAATTGCTGGTGCAAAAATCAGTACTGGGCATCAGGATGGCAAAATGACCATCCCTGTGATCAGCTTGTCCAAGGCAAAGGGAGGGGTGGCCATCGACGTGGACAGCACAGGCCCAGTGCCACGGTCATCTCGGAAGCTCTGCCACTTCCCGGCCACTCCAGACCCAGAAGGGCTCACCACATCACCACTGATAACGAGTCAGCAGAGACCTGCAAGCTCCTCCCTGGGCCTGACCCTGCAATGATGCCAGCGAGGTCTTGGGGGCTGTGGAGCCCACTCACATCCCTTGCAGACCGGCCCTGGAAGCAGCACCCAACCACTTTACCTAGTCTCTTCCTGCTTTCACCTGAGGATGGAAGGCTTCCTCACCAGAGGACGAGTCTTTGTTTTCTCGGGAATCCCTCTCACATCAAATACACTCCCCTGCATGCTCGTCTTTTCCTGTCCGTTTCCCTCTGGTCCTGACTGGCACACAGCTTTCCTTCGTGACTCCTCTCTCAGGGGAACTGCCCACTCGCATCCTGAGGCTCCCACCATCTGACTTTTTGCTCCCTCCTGGCCAATCCTGACAGCTCTGTGGCCCCTCACCAGCTTCCATACAGGGGCTCTTCCCTCGCTCCTTACTCCCCAGTTCTGGGTGCCTCCACCCAGGCACCTGCAAGACCCTCCCTGCTTCCTTGCTGGTCCGGCACTGCTTGGCTGTGAGCCGTCCCACCTGCTAAGTTGGGGCTTGCTTCTTCCAGTCTGAATTAATTTCATTTTCTTTCTCCAGCACTTCCCTGTTTCATTCTTTCTGCTCTCCTAAACAAGACTGGACCTAATATTTTCCTCTATTATTTTTTTTTTCTTCACATCCACTTTCCATGGGTGATATAAACACAGCACCCTTAGAAAGACAGGTACTCACAGTAGAGAGTGTGACAGAGCAACCCCATGTATACCTTCAATGGAAACGGTCAAGACAGTTCTACTCTGGTCATTTCTAGAAGCTAGTGTTCTGGCCACGTATCACAAAGGCCAGGCAGAGGCAGTGTGAATGCTAAGCTTCTCTAGACGGTGACCTGGGGGAATGATAATAAATACTGATATCCTTGTCACTGAGAGATGGGGAAGAAACTGGTGAAAATGAAGCCATATCAAAGTAGCAGGCAATACTTGGCATGAGGTGAATTGCAAATGAGTGAATCAGTGAATGGATGACATACAGAAGGCCCACGGTACTAATGCCCACGTTTTGGCCATGTTTTATAACCTGGGAAATGTAGGTTCACTTTGGTAGATCTTTACGTGAATCTGAAGTTTATGCATGTTATAGAAACTCTTGAGGAAATTTACCTATGTCATAAAGATAGAGTTTTATAACCACAAAATTTGTTGTAAGTGATATTGATGACAATCTGGTTGTAAGGACTCTGGAAATTCTATGCAGCTAACGTAGGTTCCTTGTTAGATGGACCAGGTACCCGAGGAAGATAAATATAGATGAGACAATTTATGCATTGTCACCACAGATGACATGATTCACCTTGTGAGTGTGAGCAGATTTATTTCTAGAGGGTAGGAGATTGGTTTTTATCATGCAGAAAACATGGATTTCATTTAAAGAAGCCATCTTAGTATATCCATTGGCAGAGAACTAAAGTGTGACAGCATCACAGGCTAAAATAGGGCATTATTTTTGCACTGTTTTGAATTAAAGAGGTGGTGGTACTTGTTAAAAATGGGGGGCAGGGTGACCCAAAGCATGGGGATGAACATTTACTTAGATTACCCCATGGTCTGGGAAACTAATGGGAGGTGACTTCATCTCTCACAGGGCTAGTAAATTTATTAAATTTAGTCTGTGGCCAAGTCCAAATCAGAAAACTAATAAGATCCAGTCTTAAGACTTATGCAGATGAGATTCTTCAGGGGGAGGAAGACCTAAAGGAACTTTCCTTAGAACCATAAATTAAGGATTCCTTAAGATCCAGTCCACAAGTGGATCTTCTGGACTAAGCATGGGCGTCTAGATCTCCTTGCCTAATTTAAAATCTTAAAGAAACTCCCAACTATTGAGGGCATCTTCATGAGAGCTACTATTATGCTAGATGCATAATGTTCTATCAGAAGATAGAAGAGGAGACGGTTAAGCTATCCTGCAGGTAACATCAACCACAGGATAAAGGTACTATTGAAAATAACTCTGACTTTATGTTTTAATCTCAATTTGTTATTTGGTCCCCAAATTACATTGTTTTTTAATGTTGCTTTTTGTTCCAGTTCTTTGACCTACCCTGGGAAATGTGAAGAATATTCCTTTTTTTTCTTATTCTTTTTTCCCATTCTAATCAGCCTTTAGAATTTTTCTTCCAAACTCCATGTATAAAGGACATTTTCATAAGATAATAAAATCACAATTAAAATCCATAATTTAAGACAATTTAAGTTTTGTCAAGTTGTTTGCAATAGTAATTACCCACTATTTATCACCTACAGATGACTTGTAAATGGATAGGCTGTGCACTTTATGGCCTACCCTCAAGCATTCATGACTCACTGCTCACAAACATAGTTCCTGACAAGGATATCCTAGTTGAGCAAACAGCGCACTCATCCAAGGTGCCACGTGTTTAGAGCCCAAATATGCGCCCCCTGGAGGTGCAGAGAGTTAATGAGCCCTAGTCTGTCATCTCTTCAATGGGATGCTTAAGAACATTAAGCTAAATGCTTTGTTATTTAATGGGCACTTTAAAGATTCATAGAGACATGTCTTTCTAATGTCTTCAGGTCAAATAACAAGTAAGGCTCACTAAATATTTGACAGAAAACAAACATCATGCAACAAAACTTTAGCATTCTGCTTTGGTGTTTTAATCCTGCAGTAATTCATAAATTAGTTTGGGGAGAAAGATATAATGATTACTGGAATAATATGGCACAGTGCAAATGAGGAAAAGAAGTATACTCCTCAATATTAAGTATCAATGTATCTGAGATGCTGTCTTTGGAATTTAAGGTAACTTTCTATTACAAGATAATTTCATTTTGACAAAATAATTTAAAATACATATAATTGCATGCCAGCTTCTCTTTAAAGAGCCAATAAACTAGCTCTTACTAAATGTTTACTATGTTTATGCTTTGTTCTAAACTCATGCTGTGCTTTCGCTCATGTACATTTTCCAATTACCTTATGAACCAAGCATTCTCATTGTCGTATTTGACAGATGAGGAACTGAAAGACCAGGGCTTTCAGTAACTGCTGAGGGTCACTCACACAGACAGTGTGTGACAAGACTTGAACCCATTTGGTGTGACTTCAGAACACCACCCTGAGTCCCTGTGTGATATTATGTTACATTTCATGATCTAGGGCCAGAGCGAGGTAATCTCTCCCTTCTTTTTCTAATGTTTAATGCAGTTATATATTTGAAGTTCACTCCTCCATTTCTTTTCTCCAAGATTTATTTTTATTTATTTGTGCATATAAGAACTGGGGTATAGGCCAAAGGTGAGGAGGGGGTGTGTGTGTATGAGAGGATTCACCAAAGGCAGAATGGGGAGCAGAATAGACGGATCTACTGAACAACACTGCTGAGGGCAGCAGTGGAGAGACAGGAGAGGTCTGCTGCGCCATGTGGGTCACTCCCTGGCCGGGGATCAAACTCATATCACAGTAGGTGGTGATAGCTTGAGAACAGAGACTTATGCCATCAGCGGACCTTTCTTTAAGAGGAAATCACAAGAGAGATCTAAAAGACCATTGCTAAGCCAGAAAGCCTACTTGTACACTGGCTCTTACAGGATCCTCAAACTTATGGTTTCAAGAAGTCTAGTGTCCCTCTGGGAAACTCCTCTGCATACGTCTCAGGGATTCTGGGCCTCCTTATTAATTTTCTTATTTGAAGGGATTTGGGGAGTTGAGAACTGGAGTAGGTTTTCTGAGGTAGCTGAATCATGGGCATTAAGCACAGGATGGGCCTTGGGAATCGGGTTGTCCGAATCTTCATCAAACAAGTAAATAAACAAAAACAGAGATGGAGATGTTACATGATGTCACGGTCTATAAATATTTCAGTGGACAGCAGGATTTATAACTTCAGTTTTTCACTGATTTGGTTTTCACACCCAGCAAAGCTCCTGGCCTTTCATGTCTGTGACAGAGTTTCTGTGGTTTTTCTTTCTCTTCCTGTTGGCAGGCACCTGTGGCTTGGTTTCTCGCTTGACCCACCATTTTCTGAGTCACCACCCCAACTAAAACACTGCATGTGATTGCTCCAATCTGCATTATCTGCATGTTCCTGCACCCTCAGGAACATTGTCTAAGACTGTTTATTGCTAAATGAGTAGATAATCACAGTCTCATCTCTACCCAACCATTAAGAAGCACGGATGAGTAAAACATGATATGAAGTAATTTTTCATTATTTCTTACTATCTATTTAAATGAAGACCCTGAGGAAATAATATATTTTACTTGTGGACAGATTTGCATTACATCAGTGATGGTCTCCAGTCATTCCTGTTTGCAAAGTTTGAGAAGCTTCTATTATGCCAAGAACTAGCAAGCACATTCACCTGAATTGCTACCCAGGTCAGATGTGGCACCACACAGAGTGACATACCAGGAGCAGCTGCAGCAACAGCACCAACAGAAGCAACATGTGTTGTTGGGTCTCTGGTTTCCAGGTGCTTGAGACACAGCAGGGGTTCCTTCATTTTGTGACTGCTGTCTTTTTCGCATCTCAGCTACTTCAGAACCCAAGTGGCTGAGGAGACAGAAGCATAAGGTATGAAAAATTACAGAAAGAGTATCTTGCCTACGATGAAGGAAGCATAATTTCATTAAAAGGTGGAGTGGGGGTTAAGGGGGACATGGGAGAGAGATTTTAGGAAAGGGTAAAAATAAACCTTAACAATCAAATTAAAAATTCACAAGAAAGAATTTCAGGGGAATATCCTAAAAATTTCAGCAACAAAGGTCTACCATAATCTGCTCCATAAAATCATAGTAACAATGCTGGCAGGTAATCAACATCAGTTGGTAAGGCAAATATGATAAGGTTTGAAAATTTACTTTTAACTTCCTTCTTTACTCAAGAATGATTACATCTGCTTCCTTCATGAACACCTTTGTTGACTATGAGGGGTGTGTGTAACTTATTTCTCCACTGATGTTTACAGAAAGGTTAACTGAGCCTTGCAAATCATTGCCCAAAGTCTTCTGACTATGTAACATCAAGAGGAAGACCAGCTCATTGGGGGGGCTCTCTCACTCCCTTTTAAAACACTTAGTCTCCTTTTTGGCACTCTGACTCACCCTCCAGGTACCAGAATTGATAATATTTGCAAAATGACTATCTATTAGGTGTCCCTGTGGCAATAACGGCTCTCTCCCACCACTTGAAAATTATTTTAATTTAGTAAAGAACAGTGGAAAGATAAAAGTCACCAAATCTAGGGGACTTGCTTTGGTGAAATTTAAATATCATGGGAGATAAGGAAAGTATTGGGATACAGGAGTTGTATCTGTGACCTTACCAGCCAAGTCAAATGAATTCCCACCTATTTATAGGAACTATCCTTATCTAGGTCTTTGATGAAGATAAAATAGAAAGTTATGTTTTAGTAGAATAAAATTGAATTAACATGGCAACTTTTAAAAGGAATGTATTCTACCTAATGATGTTTTTTATAAATATGTAATATATGTAACTCATATACATGTATCGCCATATGTGTGACTAAAAATACTAAAAATATAAAGTATTTTGGCACTGTAAGTTCATACTTTTAAAGTGATGTTTTCATTTCTGAATACAGTGATCACTTTTTGCACTCTCAAAAAGTTGTCCAACACTCCAATTACAGCATTTTGCAAACACCACTATGTCTCCATATTGTTAAATTTCACAGCCATTTGTCAACATCTTCTGTGCCTGTCAGCTGCCTTTAACACGGTGATGACTCCATTCTCCTTAAATGGCCTTCTCTTCTCTTGACCTTCAGACAGCTCATTAACTGGTTTGCTCTCTCACTTCCTACTTCGCAGTCTTTTTGATTCCTATTTACCTACTTCACCCTTAAATTTAAGATGACCTCAGTGTCATATCCTTAGAACTATTTTCTAGCATTTCTTGGGTGAACTTGTTGAGGCTTTTACGGAACCTCCCAGCTTTTTGTTCAAAACCCCCAAATTTACATACCCAATAAGATAATTTTTTTAACTCAATACTCATATATCCAATGACCTACCTGACATGTCTACTTGTCTTTCTCAATGTGGAGTCTCAAATATAAGATGTGCTCGTGCGACAGTCTTACATCTCGCTTTCTAATGTCTTCCCACTTTCAAGAAATGAAAAGCCTCATCTTCTGAAAATTTCAGAGAAGAATCTCTGGGGTCATCCTCAGTTCCTCTATTTCATTCAGACCCACATCAGCAGACCGGAAAGTGTGAGATGGCGTGGTCTCCTGCATGTTGCCTATGCTCCCCAACTCTTCCTCTCCCCATTCAGCTCCATTCTACTTTTAGCCAACAGCCAAAGCAGTCTTTTAAAACAGAAGGCTGATGATTTCAGCAAAGAACCCACTCAACATGTATTGGCTTTTCCACCCAGATCCACTGATGTTTTCAGTTTGCTTTGCATTTATTCAAAGTAAAAGGCCAGATTTTTTTCAAGTTTGTCTTCCATCACTTCTAAGAGCCTCTGTGAAGGACTCCACTTTTCTTCTCACTGTTCTACCACAATGGCCACCTTACTGCTCCTCCACCGTGCCTGGCTGGTACAAAACATGTCACAGACACTACACTTACTGCTTCATACTCAGGGTTCGGTTGCTTCAAAGTTTTGCATGGATATTATATTTTCAGGGCATTCTTATTTAAAATTAGCTTATTAAAAACTACAATTCCCTTGGACCTCCCTGGCACCCTAGAGGTTAAGTCGCAGCACTATTACCACTGTAAGCTGAGCTTGATCCCCAACCAGGAAGCTGACCCACATGGAGCAGCAGACCCCTCCTGCCTCCCCGCTGCTCCCCTCAGCAGTGTGCTTCAGTAGATCCACCTGTCCTGCTCCCCGCTCTGTCTCCTGTGAATCCTCTCACTCTCTACACATCTGGCCTGTAACCCCATTCACTCATGCATAAATAAATAAATCTTTAAATAAAATAAATAAAACTACAATTCCCTCAGCCAACCTCAACATGACTTACCACCCACTCATATTTAATTCTCTCCATATTGGGTGTCATCATTCATTATATTATAGATTTTATGAATTGTTGTCTAATCAATAAGAAAATAAGTTCAATGAAGGTAGCCTATTGTCTCTTCTTTGCTGCTGGAATGTAGAGCTACCTACTACATCCATCTAGTACATAAAAGTATTTATTGAACCAGTGAATTTTACAAGAGATCTCATTAATGACAAGAAAACAAGAAAAGCCGATCACATCCAACATTAAAATTGAGAAATTCCTAACTAATGTAACAAACTAATAAACAATAAATATGGGTTGGAAAGAAAAATATACATCTTACTATTTATAAGTGATATTATTGTCTACAAGGAAATTCTAAGAGATTCAACAGACAAGTCATTAGGGAAAATTTAATGAGGATACGTGGTAGGCTTCAAAGACCAATATATTTCTAATAGAATATAAATGGCTAATTAGGATATATCAAAGAACAGCATAATTTAATTGACTCATAAGAACAAAGAACTAGCTGGTAATATTTCTAACTAAAGTCATAGAGGAACTTTATGGAAATGTTACACACATTATTCAAAAAATACAAAATAGCATCTGTGTAGAGAGGTTATTTTCCTAAAAACATTTTAAAATGCTATTGTCCCAAATTATTTTCTATGTCCAATGTGATTATAATAAAAATTCTAATTGAATTGTTCATGGAACTTATTACTTGGATTCTAAATGGATTCTAAAGGTTCTTTAGAATAATAAAGAGCAATGAATAACCAGCATGTTTCCGCAAATAAAAACAAGTGGATATACTTGTCCTATTGTATCATAGCAATAAATACGAAACTATAAAAATTAGGATATTTTTATAGCTATGGGAATGACAGAGAGCTGAGACAGACTAATATGTACTCACAGCTAAAATTAGAGGATACATCTATATTATTCAGAAAAAAGTCAATAAATGGTATGGAGACAATTAGAGTTCTGCATCAAAAAAATACATCTCCAAGTGACAACACACAGTTTATCTCCAAATAAATCACCAATAGATGTTAGAAAAATTAGATAATTAAGATAAGAAAACATATTAGAGTGATTTTGTACCTTCAGGTAGGAAAATAAGACCCTTTGTCAAGTCAAACAGCAGGAGACGATTGTTGACCTAGTCTAATTTATCAAAAACTTTTGAGCCAATGAGTCAAGAGTATACAATAGAGAAAGGAAAAATTAAGTGTTTATATTTGCTAACTCAGGAAGGAAAAAAAAAAGAATGTGCCAAGATCTCTCAGAGGGCAAAATACTGCTGTAGTGAGATTATCAATTTTGGAGAACTAGCTGAGCTGGAAAAGAACTGATGCTACAGTTCTCACCTCACTCTCAGTGGAATGATATTTTTAGATCTCAAGCTTACACATACACCCATTTAGCCTCAACCCAGCCCCATATGCACGGCATGAACGAGCCCAGAGCCCAGCTGTCGCTGGCCAAACTTGGCCACTGCCATTGTCTGGGTAACGACCTTTCATTAGTCACTGAGTCTCCCTGTGTCCCCGCTACCTCATCTACAGGTAGTGACCAATGACATCAGAACGCGCCTGCGCATCACCACTAGCGTAAAATCCTTGGAACAATCCTTGTCCATGCAGTGAGCTTACTCAGTAAGTTAGTGGAGAGAGTATTGAAAAGAGCTGCTCTTAAGGTTGCGAAAATTTGGTGAAACAGTGTTTCCTGGCTACAGATGTCAAAGATGCCCATCAGTATCTTCTGCCTGAGAGATCACTCCACTTCTTATAGGGTGGATTGTAAAGTTGTAGGATCTTCCTATCTAGGGCTCTAAACAAAGTCTTCCCCAGGGAAGAAAGAAGACCAATGGCTAGGTTTTTCATTTCACCACTAACAGTAATTTTTATCACATATAAAAGAACTGAGTCTCAACTCACAAACGGCTCCTCAGCCAACAATCAAACTTCATCATAATCATGACCATCTTGTCTCGCCCAGTGGCAACATTCAGTTTCGCAATATGGATGAGATGCACTGCTTCGATCCCAAAAGGTATTTGCTAAATAAATAAGCCACGATTGTGAGTCCCTCTTGATCACTGGGATGGACACGGAGGCAACATATCACGAAAAGATATTTATTCCTAGTTGTCATGCATGTTCCCTGGGAAGGGAAACAATTCACTCCTTGATTGAAAATTACTGATAATCACCCTGCTTCATCTAAGCCAACATTTTTTTTTAAAGATTTATTTATTTGTGTATACAGAACTGGGGTACAGGCCAGAGGCTCAGGGGTGGCGAGAGGCTTCACCAGAGACAGAGTGGGGAGCAGAACAGGCAGATCGATGAAGTCCACTGCTGAGGGGAGCAGCGGGCGGGTCAGGAGAGGTCTGCCGCGCCATGTGGTCACCTCGGGGGGCAGGCGGGGAGCGAACTCATGTGGAAGTGGCGTTAGCTTCTCAGTGCTGTGCTTTAACCCGCAGCGCCACCAGGGAGGGCCTAAGCCAACATTTTTACTGATGTCACGTTGGTGCACTTTTTCTTTTGGC